GTAGGTAATATATATGACTATTTAGAGCATCATGTTACACATCATAGTATCTATATTTTTACCAGTTTGAAAACAAATTTAAAAACTATCAGTGCTTAAAATAACTTAGGAACTGAATTCCTTTATCTCCAAAGTCCCTTTTAGCGACAGCACTTCAGGCTTCTCCCAGAAGGAAAAGCATCATATCATGTCTGCACCAAGGGCAAGTAAAGTATGTGATGCTTGGAAGACAGAAGAAGAAGAGGGGAATTTAGATGTTAGTACTGTGGGCGTAAAAAGCTGCAGTTATAACAAAACTGGACTTTGAAGGTAGCATAGCATTGAACAATACAACCAGGTAGAGCACAAAAGACATAGAATAAGAAATGCCCAGGAGCTAGGACTATGGGTAAATTCAGCGATAAATAGTGACTAAACCAGTGAGGTTCTGCCTGATATTGTCAGGGTTATGAGGTCCTCTACTTGACACACTATTTGCAGAATCTGTTCTGAGACTAGCCCCGGGATGGCTGGGATAAAGATGGATTGTGATAGCACAGACCTGGTCTACTTGGATTGTTGCTGCACCATAGAGGTCCTGTTTGATAGACAAAGGGATAACCTTACAGAAATAAACATGGTACACAGTGAGAAAAGATACCATACACATGGTTCAGATCATGCCCCATGCATGTCAGGGGCTGTAGCAAGGTGTGCTTCCTGGAGGCAAGTTGGGAAGTGTGAGATGCAACATAGAGGTCAACCCAGTGCATATGAGACAATGTTCAGGGTACCAAGCAAAATGAGGAGCCCTGGAAACATCAAGAACACGGCAGGTACCTATGCTCTGAAGCTGCTGTGGTCCTGGGCTGGAAGATTGGAAAGAGTGGAGTTCAAGTTCAGTTAGCAGTCCCTTTGTGTACCACACAGAGTAAGCCCCACCTCCAGCTGAGTCCTGGGTGTTCCTGATCCTACCTCAGAGATGGGAAAACTGGAGCTAAGCCAACTCATACTAGTTCCCACCACATATATCCCATAGAGTTGGAATCCCAGCTCAGATTGTTTCTCAAAGCCCACATCTTCCTTATGCAGACTCCTGTGTAGTGAGAAGTGATCTGAAGAGATTAGCTAGAGACCTATTCAGCCTTGTCAAAGAACCCCAAAGATACAACCTTCCTCTGCCTCCACCTCCATCATCTCTATAATGTTATATGTTGTAGGGCAGTAAGATCCATTCAGGAGAGGGGAAGAAGGAAAGCCAAGCCTTTCCTAAGATATTTCAAATTGAAAACACAAGACCCACAATGGCAGACAGATTAAGTGTGAAAATGGAGTGGTCATTCTCATTCCTGGACCTGGATGCAGGTGAACCCCAATGTGACTAAGCAAAGAGACAACATAAGGTCCTGTCACATGCTAACTGAAAATGATGGAATTCACCCGGCAGCCGTAATCAGCTCCTGACTCTGACAGGACCTCCTCCACTTGAAGCAGCTCTCTGGAGGATAAGTTTTCACCAGAGAAAGCAGTGACCCTCCCACCTCCCTGCCCTCATCTTTGCAGCATTCCTCCTCAATCTGATGCCTGAAAACAGTGGAGGCAGGCGAGACAGCAAAATCCCTGTTACAAATACTGCTAAGGACCCCAGCACATAGCTACACAGCTGGCAAAAACATAGAAGACTTCCTCACATAGTTTCTCAAACGCTTTTTCCTCCAACAATACTGAGGGTTAGAAGGTCAAGGTTAGGTGAATGAGTGCCCATCTAGAAAGCAAGCAAGGGAACAAAGAAATAAGGGTGGTGCAAGGCAATAAACCCATGCCTACTACATTGTCCTTGAACTCAGATCACAGAGTAACAACCTCCATCAACTCCCATCTCATCCCTTTCTACTTTGGGTCACTGGGGTCACCTCCTGTGATTAGAAGGCCCAGAATCAAATCTTTCTTATGGTTTACCAGGGAAGAAAATCCACAGACCTTTCTGAAGCCAGACTGTTCGAGGGAGAGGGTTCAGGGTGTATCTGCATAGGCAGGGAACATGCCTGCTTACTTGGCACTCAGCATTCCACACCTGGCTTCCCGGGGACTTTGAGTCTCCATGAACAACCTTCTTTCACTCTGCTAGAATCACAGCTCATTCACTAATTAAAGGGTATTACACACTTCATTGCACACCAGCTAAGAACTTGGAATAAGGGAGCTTGTGCTACAGCATTCGCCCTGGAGATGATGCTCTGGGCTTTATAGAAAAACCAAATTCAGAAAAAGAGCATCCCCAACACATAATTCTCTAAGAAGTCAGCCACGATGCTTAGAGAAAGAAGGCACCCGGTGTATCACAATCCCCAGCAGAGCTTGTAAGAAAGCCCTTTGGAGAGGGATGGCCATCACAGAATGAGAGAGGAGGCTGGGAAATAGGCTTCTTCAACAGCTACATAGGCTCACTGCTGAGGTGGGAGCAAGGAAACCTTGCCTACACCCAAGTACCAGAGAACACAAAGGTGGGTCAGAGGTATGCTCCTCAATGTAGGGGCTTGGACATGTTCCCTACTGTATTACCCTCTCCAACAGGGTCTGGCATAGGTGCCCACTGTCATCCATTGGTGAAGACCAGCTTCCTATCACACATCTAGAGTGGGTGCCATCCTGACATCCCTGAGCAGACAGAAGAGAACAGCAAAGGTCTCCCTCTCTTCAGCATTTGGAGATATTACACACAGAGGGGCCAATCCAAGGATGGGTACTCAAACAAATGATTTTGACAGAGATACTGCATGCCACTAATCAAAGAGTCAACCTGTCTGCAGGCAACTTCAGTGTTTCAGAGGGTCAGGAGCCCAGATAAGGATTTAAGTCCTGACTTTGGGTGACTTGGGATACCAGCAATTTAAATGATGGGCCAAATATAAACACTCAGCCCAAGACCAACAAGCCTCTGTTTCTAAACAGAACTTGGACATGAGCTTAGTTACCAGTTGGCAATGCCATCATGAGGATGCTTTTTGAGGGTGCTTAAAGACTTGTCCTAGGGTCTGCTGCCCAGGATGGCCACCCCGAGGCACCCGGCATCTGTTGTCTGTGGGTTCCATGTGTGTGCAGGCAGACAGAGGAAGAGCTGAATGCACATTCAAGCTTCACAGTACAGCAGTGAGACTGAGCGTTGCCAGGCACTCGAAAGCACCGGCTGGAACACAGCAATGGTTTCAGCCTCCAAGAATGAGGCATTTTTCTCCATCCCTCCCCAAGGCCCCTCAGACATCATTTGTGCATGACATATTTTAGGATCCTGTTTGCTCCTTTAAGAAGAGCTGCCCAATTCCTTCTCCAGCTCAGACTGGCTTCATCTTTAGCAAATGCTGCTGTCAGTTTGGCTGTGCTCTTCCTTGGAATGTTTTAAAGGGATAATAATACAAAACGGCTCCCCCAGGAAACAGCTCTAGCACACAGGCTGTGAGAGGCAATGCCCCTGGCACTCTGGGCTCTTTCAGAATGAGAGACAGCCAACAGCAAGTGCAGAGGCTGAAGCCAGAGACTGGCTGAAACATAAAGAGAACCTCAGAGCAAGAGGCAGGTGGCTCTGAGAGGGGGTGGGAAGGGCTGCACTACGGGAAAGGGAGGGAATGTCTTAATGAGGCAGAGCACCTCAGACAAGGGCTGACGACACAGTCCAGTTCCCTTGATGACTGCTGCACCTGCCATCCCCAACTTGTCACTGCATTTTTGGATCAAGACTCTGGATCCCTGAAGCTCTCCTTCCCTTTCCCCAGGAAGCTGTGGGGAAAGCAGACACATTGGGCTGCAGGAGGATCCCACAGTTCCTGATACCCCAGATTTGTCTGGCAGTGTGGAAGAGACGGCAGCTACTGTCTGACCTGTTACACCAAGTTATGCCTAGCAGTCCATTAATTGGGCTGAGAACCCTAGCGGCAGCAGATCTGATCCCATCTTTCCCTCTCAACCCGCTCTGGCAAACCCATCCTGAACGTGAGCCACATCCCCTCCTCTTTACTCAATTCCACACTCCCCTCCAGGCTTTCCAATCCCACAGCTGCTGGTCCCCCTCCCCACACCCTCCTCCTGCACCCACGTTATGAAGCAATTGTACACAGAGAAAACGAGCCTTCGAGTTTCAAGCTAAAGCTCCCAGACAAGCCAGCCTCCCGGACCTCCTCACGGCGTCTGTCATCTCTGCCGACCCTCTACAGGAACCTCTACCCTCACTCTCTTCTCTGCCCAAGCACCATGGACAGCTCCATGGCTTCAGGAGGACCAGATGAAGCCTCTGGGGGTCCTCTCCTCCCCCACACAATTCAGGCAAGAAAAGGAAGGAAAGAGCCTTCCACACCTCTGCGGCATCACCTGCTCAGTGAGTTCCCACAGCCACTCGAGCCATTCAGGCTGTCTGGGGCCCCACACCCCCTCCTGTGACAGCTTTAGCTCCAGCCCAGCCCACAGGATGCAGAGCCTGATGCCACTTCCGAGAGCAGAGAGAGAGAGAGAGAGAGAGAGAGAGAGAGAGAGAGAGGGGGAGGGGGGGGGAGGGGGGGGGGGGGGGGGGGGGTGGGGGGCAGTG